TTATGACAGTCAACCACAGAGCAACTCACGTGTGCACTACGTTTCTGCATCTTTCTTGACTGAATATGATGGGGAGAGGGGCAGGGCGGGCCTCCTCTGCGGTGTCCATATATGGTATATCCTCCGGCCCCGTCTTGACGTCATGTCGGGGGAGAAATTGAAATCTCGTATTTGAGTGCGCGTGCACGTTGGCTAGTTTAAGAACCCTGGGGTAAACAAACGCTTCACTTTTGAATATCGGCATCCCGGCCAATGTATAATCGTTAGTCAATCATAACATACATTGATTCTCATGGAAAAGTGAAAATTGCACATTATGACTCCTTTAAAAAAAATCAGCTTTTTTTTTTTTTACTTGTTTTTTATAATATTTTTTCTTTTCTTTTTTGGTGTTTTGAGATAATTTCAAAAATAAAAATGATTTATAATTAATATTAATGCAATAATTATGACCCATTTTTTCCCCATTGAATATAATAGAAATTTAAAAAAAATATTATTATTATTATTATTTTTTTAAAGCTGTATTTCATTTTAGAGTCAAGCCTAGGCCTCATGAAAGCAATTTTTGAAATGAGATGGATGCCATCTGGTGGACAAACTGAGCATTTTAAAAATTCAAAACCCATATGTAATCTGAATTTATTAGTGTGTATGTGTATAAAAGTGTGTTTGTGTGTGTGTGTGGATGTGTCTGTTTTGCACTCTTGATGTTTTATAGATTCCCCCCTTCACTGTTGTGTGCTTTTTTTCTGGATCGTGGCTGATTTGTAGTTTGTACGCACAAAATAACTTTTTTTAAAAAAAAATACATTTTTGCCAATTTCCCATTCATTTCCTATGGGGGTCCATTTGGACCCGAAGGTCCTGAGTGTGACTATTTTTTTTACAACCACTTAGACTATTCAAATCCTGTCCCCAATTTTTTGGGGTGTTCATATGCCAAGTACCAACAAAGTCACCAAATTTCGGACCATTCCGATAAAGCAATGATTTAAAAAAAAAAATTTTTTAAATGCTTCGGGTCCATTTGGGCCGAAGGACCCCAGAGGGTTAACAGGATACGCCCACCTCTCCCTCTTTTCAAACAAGGCCCTTTTCAAGTTCTTCCAATGCTTTATATTCTTATGCCCGTACAGACGGAATCGATTCTGATCGGAAATAAGTTCGTCCCTCCAGTCCCAGCCACAATGCTTTGGTCTTTTCAGGCTGTTAATGAAGGCTGTACATTTGGACAGGCCTGTACACATATAGAATTGCATTCCCTATTCTTTCCGCTACTACGTCCATTTTGCCCACTCTCTTTCAGAAGAAACCACAGCAGAGGAACTCAATATCTCCTAAACTCACCACAGAAGGACTTTAAGTTTGCACGGCTTTATACTTTAAAAAAAAAAATCTTTTAACCAATTTATTCAAATAAACAGCAATCCAAACAAATTGAAAAAATATAGCCATTACGGGGCCAAGCGCAAAAGCAGACGACAAGACATGCCAACATGGCTGGGAGTTTCAGACCAACAGCAGCAAGGAGCAACTAAAGACATTTAAAGATGAATTTAGGCAAGATGGCTTAAAAATTATATATACAGTAACCTATAAAATGATTTAATGGTTTATCACTTTCGACCAATAGGTGGCGCAGTTATGAAATCGATGCATTGTGACCAGAGTGAGGTGGCAATGACACATACAAAGTTTGATGTGAAAATGTGAAGGCATTGCAGAGATAAAGCCTAAATAGTCATTTTGGCAACATGCCTCAACTTTGAAATCCATAACTTTTAGTCGGCACGGTCTGGAGATGACACGATTCGATTTTGGTGAAAATCGGACCAACGGTCTTGGAGAAGTTCGAAAAAGAAGGTTTCAAAAATAAATAAAGATGGCGGACAGGAAGTTTGTCCAAATACGTCAAACTTGGTATCTATGTTCTCGGCATGACCCAAGGAATCTAATAAGACCAGTGTCATTACAATAGGCATATTTATTCAAAAGTTATTAGCATTTTTGGAAATTTAATTTAACTTTTGACCAACAGGTGGCGCTAACTTGAAATCTTTTGAGTACCTTCAGGGGATGGTGCTGGTGGCAAATTCTGAGTTTCATAATTTGTTAAGCATTTGTTGAGTATAGCATTTTACATCACAAAACTGTATTGAAGTCAATGGGAATTTCACGTTTTGTTCTATTATAGCGCCACCAACAGGCAAAATCCCACTTTTTTTTTTCATGTGTCCTCAGAATGAGCCCATACATGAGTGTGCCAAATTTGGTGAAAATATCTCAATTCGCTTCGGAGTTATAGACATAAATATGATTGAAAAATAATAATTGGCAATGATACACAAACACACTCACACACATACACATACACATTACATGGTATGATAGTCCAGAATTATCAGTGATTTTGGTCTGTGCAAATATGGTAAAAATAAAATCAAACCAAACATTAAAGACTGTAGAAGAGTGACTTCAGGATGCATGTTGGTGCTAAAGGAAAGTGAGAAAAGTTGAAAGGAGAAGTGTAGAACATTGAAAAAGCTTTTACGGATATGAGTACCGCTAATTTTCTGACACAGACCAGGACAAAGTATCAGGCCTAAAAGCAAGAATGAGGGCGGAACTCTTAGGTAGGAAGGAACAATATGCAGGCAGCATAACAAGATTTCATAAGCAGACAAGGAGGAGGATATGAACGTGCATTTAACATGTACACTTTGTGTGGCCTAACGTATTGATCATTTTATTTTAAAGAGGGGTATTGTGGGGCAAGTAAATTCATTACACATCTCTCAAAACGTCCCCATAGACCCTTTCATCACTGTATAGGCAATGTAAAGGAAAAAGTCTTCTTCATGGTGCTCCTGGTAGAGTATCCCCATAGTGGCTGATGTGGGAGGAATGACGTTGTTGGCCAAGAAGAAGAGGGCATCTTCGGCCCTCAAGTGGATCCTTTTCCGAATGAGGAAGTAGAACTGCCCCACTGTGAGGTCAGAAGGGACAAGATATTTCTTCTTGTCCAGATCTCCTATTCTGGCTTTGGGAGCTTTCTCAACGATCACAGGCACTCTGTCCGGGTACTTCTTTCTGATTTTCTCCCCCTCGGACCGTCGCTTCTCAAAGGGATGTTCTTCTTTGTCCATAAACTTCATTGTCAAGGGCTGGGAGATGTTAAAAATATCCAAGAAAACCTGCCGTCGGCGGTGTTTACAAACTAGCTTAGGTTTTTTTGACAACTGCGTCAGAGCGCACGGCTTTATAAATCCCGCTGCCGAGTTCCACGCGGTGACGTCACACTGATGACGAGCAGAAGGAACAGCTGGTCACACGCACAAGTAAACCCATTCAATAAAGTTGATGAGAGACATAAGCAAAACAACACCGCGCAATGAAAACGTGCTTATCGTGTGTTCATTTATTGCATATTATGTATTTTTATGAACATGATTGTCTCATGAATAGAGGGCAGTTAAAATACAATAATAATATTGCTAAACAAATAAAAGAGTGACCAATTATCTATGTTTAAACCACATGTATGTTAATGTATACATTAAATTACTGAGTAATATTAATTAACTACATGTACTTACTTACTTACTATATTGGTTTAGGGTTAGTTGCATGTAATTATGCATAATTTATAGTTATTATTACACAGTAATTACATGTAATATGCGTTACAAGGACACTAAAATAAACTGTTACCAAAAAGTGTTACCCAGAACAAATTTAATTTGAGGCCCAGACCACAAGATCACAACTAAACCTTTAATTTTTAAAATGTTGTTACATAAACACACATACTTAAGGATGAGAAAAATATTTTATTTATCTGAATAACACAACATTATGAATTATACAGTCAAATGTTCATACATTATAGAAAGTAAGCTTCCATTTCTAAGGCTTTTTAATTTTTAGTCTAATTTTTAATCATTCATCCTTGATTTTACAATGAACCTCTTTGATTGATTGTAAATTACAAAAATAAATTGCCTTCTGGAAGCTAAAGCCTGTTGAAACATTATAAACATGTTTGAACCAGTGACTGCAAGAATTATGCCACTAAAATTGAGAAGTCACTTCTCCTGAATCTTCAAATTAATTACATTTCAAACAAAAGTAATTTAGTTGTAAAAGTGCTCACGAATACTAAATTAAGGCAAGAAATTTCACACCCAATGTTTACAGGAAAATCCTGGATAGAGATTATAGAGTGCAATACCGGCATGCGTGTTCTCTACATATATCAGTCACCCTACTAAATAATAATAATTATAATAATAATTCATAGCATTTATATGCGAAGGCAGCCATATTATGCCAGAACACCCACCACACACCAGCTTACTGGTGGAGAGGAGACAGTGATGAAGCCAATCTGTATATATAGGGATGATTAGGAGGCCATGATGAACAGAGGCAAATTTGGCCAGGATGCCGGGGTTACACCCCTACTCTTTTTCGAAAGGACATCCTGGGATTTTTAATGACCACAGAGAGTCAGGACCTCGGTTTAACGTCTCATCCGAAGGACATGTCAATTGAAACATGTCAATCAAAGAAAAAAAAATGTCAAAGTCATACATCAAAAGAAATTAAAAGAAATTAGGAAGTTAGACATTCCGGTTACACTTTATTTTAAGGGGTCATTGTTACAGTGTAATTATATATTTAAGTACTTCTCAACTACATGTACTTACTATAGGGTTAGGGAGGATTAGGGTTTGGCTGAGTGTAATTATGTATTATTTACTGTTATTGCTATGGTAAGTACATGGAACATATGTAACAATGACACTGTAAAAAAAAGTGTTACCGAAATTGCATCTCTGCATCCTCTTAGAAAACATATTTCCATTGAATCTAATCAGAACTGGCAGCATATCGTACAGCAGGGGTGTCCAATCCTGGTTCCGGGGAGTTTAATTAGAGTTGGAGATCAACTCTGCTGGACGCTGACCTTCCAAGAACAGGATCAGACACCTCTG